GATTCAACATTTGTGTTAACGAGCAGTTGGACAGGTGGACATAATAAAGTGGCCGGTGAGTGTCTAACAATAAAATCTGTTTAGATTTGTCATGTAAGATGGTGGATGATCTGCTTTAAATTATGTTAGTGAATTGAATTTGTGTTTAAAATGTAAAAAATCTGTATTTAAGATTCTGAATAAATAATTTCTGTTCAGTAATCTGATTGATGATTTGATGGGTCAGGGAGGAAACCAGAACCAGGTTCTGTTAGTAAAACCAAACAGATTCAGAGAAATGAAAGAAAATGTAGAAAAACAAACAACAGATTCAGTTTTAAACTTTATTACAGGAGGCTTTTCTTTTATATACTGTACACAGACATGTATTTGCAAAATACTAAAAAGTATTTCAACTCAAAGTACTAAAAAGTATATAATTATATATATTTTCATGTTATAGTATTTATTGTATCTAAAAGTGGGCGGATGTCACTGAGAACTTCACCTCTTACACTCAGGTTTCACCTGGAAAACCTTTAAACTCCTTCAGTTTATTTTTATTTCTTCGTATGTCTGCGGTCAGGTTTTCACTTGCAGCTCTGAGACAGATTGATTTTTTTTCAGCAGAAATCTAATTAAACTACTTTTATCAAGAAACCTCTGATCTCCTATCTACTGATTTATATTTGTATTCATTTATTTATTTTTTGCCAGCTTTAGCAGCATTGTTTTAAAGTCTGCAGTGAAGTTAAAGTTCCTTTGAGTTTTGTTCAAGGTAAATAAATAAGAGTTAGGAAGGAGAAACCTGTGAGCTGTTCTCCAGGTGAGAACCTGAGCAGTTCCCTGGAGATCCCAGGTTTCTGCAGGACTGATGTGAAGCTGAAGATCTGCTGAAACCAGACCGCTGAGGCTGAGGTAAAACCAGCTGCAATTTAAACAGAGTCATGGTGGAAAAAAAAGAACATTAATAAGATTTGGTGCTGCTGCCCCCTGCAGACAGACACTTGTATTGCATTTATTACACAATAAAAAGGAACATCTTGTTTTCTAAACTGTTTCTGTCTCCGAATGTTTTATTGTTTCTTTCAAATGAAGCAYCTTTTGGTTTAGAAACAAGGAAAGAAGGCAGGAAGGAGCAGATCCTCAGTCTGAGTCCCCTCTGAGCAGAACATGGACTCTACCAAACCCTCATTAGCACCASATGGTCTCACAGCTCAGAACAATCTACTCTCCTTCAAAATAAGAGCTCAGGTTTATATACTATTTGAAAACTTGTTTCATTTTGTTTGACATCATCTATCAACTCTTTCTGATGGAGTTGTTACAGGTTTTATTTTTTAGCTGCAGTTCAGCTGCTTTCTGAGTTTTAAGCAGCTTCAAACAGACTGATAATGTTCTAAACCCAAATCAAAAGTTCAGATTCACTGAAGGACTCAAAGAGAGGTTGGTGTCAAACTAAACAACAAAATCACTGCAACAAAATTCATACTTTTAGCTTAAAATGWCTTTTTAACTTCTAGGTAAAGGCTGAAAAATGAGTCAACCTGTTAATTATCAAAAACCAGAAGTCATCAACCAACCAAGAGTTCAAGCAGTCAATCAGTGATGATGGCTTCATGTGTAGCAGGCACACTCTGGGTCTATTGCTCCTGAAAACAGCCCTTCAGCTCAACTGCAACCTGAAAAATGCCTCGCAGCCGAGTGGCGTGGAGAGAAGTTACAACCTCTGTTACATCATCACCTTTTTTCTACAGAGTAGAAACAGAGTCCAGATGTGCCGGGAAAACCTTCAGTTCATATTTAAAATGAGTCATTCAGTAACGATTCCTCAGGATGACTGAGAGGAATCGTTCCACGTTATCCACACCGAACATCAGAATAAAAACATCTCCCCGTGTCTTTCCACAGTAACACAGAGTCAAAATGAGACAACACAGAGTCAACATGAGTTAACATGAGTCAACATGAGACAACACAGAGTCAACACAAGTTAACATGAGTAAACACAGAGTCAACATGAGTCAATCCAGTCAACATGAGTCAGCACAAAGTCAACATGAGACAACACAAAGTCAACACAAGTTAACATGAGTCAACACAGAGTCAACATGAGTCAATCCAGTCAACATGAGTCAGCACAAAGTCAACATGAGACAACACAAAGTCAACACAAGTTAACATGAGTCAACACAGAGTCAACATGAGTCAATCCAGTCAACATGAGTCAGCACAAAGTCAACATGAGACAACACAAAGTCAACACAAGTTAACATGAGTCAACACAGAGTCAACATGAGTCAATCCAGTCAACATGAGTCAGCACAAAGTCAACATGAGACAACACAAAGTCAACACAAGTTAACATGAGTCAACACAGAGTCAACATGAGTCAATCCAGTCAACATGAGTCAGCACAAAGTCAACATGAGACAACACAAAGTCAACACAAGTTAACATGAGTCAACACAGAGTCAACATGAGTCAATCCAGTCAACATGAGTCAGCACAAAGTCAACATGAGACAACACAAAGTCAACACAAGTTAACATGAGTCAACACAGAGTCAACATGAGTCAATCCAGTCAACATGAGTCAGCACAAAGTCAACATGAGACAACACAAAGTCAACACAAGTTAACATGAGTCAACACAGAGTCAACATGAGTCAATCCAGTCAACATGAGTCAGCACAAAGTCAACATGAGACAACACAAAGTCAACACAAGTTAACATGAGTCAACACAGAGTCAACATGAGTCAATCCAGTCAACATGAGTCAGCACAAAGTCAACATGAGACAACACAAAGTCAACACAAGTTAACATGAGTCAACAC